AATGTAAACCTATGTGCAACGGACTTAAAGGTTTGACGTAGAAAACTTACGGCTTAAAAGTTTCTGAATCTGACGGATTCATGTTGACTGGGAGCAGCACGTATTGTGTCGTAAGGTCGTCGGTGGTCGCGGGAGGCAGATGACGAGGAGGCATCACGGTCGGGCTGCGGTACGGCGTCGCTGGGGTTGGGGGATCGTTGAGGGCTCGTGTGGGCTGCGGCTCATGTGCAGGCTCGGTCTCTTGTGGCTGGCTCGTCGTCGGCGGTCGTGGGCTGTCGTCAGCAGCGGCTCACGGTGGTTGACGGTCGGCGACTCCGGGGTTGAATATATATATTTGATCAGAAGGTCTCGAATACAACAGAATCTTCTACTATATTACTCAAACACCTCTTTTTTCAACCAATACTGGTGGAATAACGAGAAGAAGAGAAAGTTCGAATGGAATTTAGAGAGAGAGAGAAGAGGGCGCGCGTATATATTACACGTAGAAGACTTTCTATTCTCTTATGTTGTGTCTTTTCCATAAGCTTATTGATATATATATATAAAGCTACAGTAGGGATATTTAGGAGAACAAGAATAGGGTTTCTTAAGTATTAGACTAACTGTGGGCCAAGTCCACTCCTCCAATCACTTATATAATATTATGGTCCACTACCTTAATATTATTGCACTCTCTTTTTCTATCTCAAATTACATTTGATACTACAATTTAATTACTCAAATTACCTCCCCATGTTTAATATATAATGTTCATTAATTAATTCGATTATTGATAATCAAGAATTAATTAATATATTATATTATCAAAGCTAGCGCTCGTTCATTGCATTATTATTATGTTAGAACCTAATCCAACTGCAGGATTTAACATAACAATACTTTATGAACTCACTTTAGAGACATCATCAAACTAACGCACAAGTGACCGTAAATATCCTAACAGCACATCATACATACAACAATATTACCCAAGATAGTAAGACTATTGATCCAGCGAACTAAATCTCACCTAATTGAATCAAAGTAATAAATGTTGCATGTATATGTCTGTTTAATATCTCACGGGTTAAGAGAAACGCAGTAATTAACTGAGATTTAAGTTTGTTTACGACGATCAGTATAAAACAAATTGTTACTCTCTCGGATTCTGTTCAATACATAATTGTACTAGTGCAACTAATCAGTCAAGACAAACTGTACCATTGACACTACAACCGTTCCGATGGTTTGTTCATTTCCATTGAGGTTGTGAACCAATAATTATTGTTTCGCAAGTGACCGGTAAATGATCTTCTGTCCATCAGTGATGAACCATTTTATCTAAATGCAAAACAACAGAACATAGAATTTGTTTAATCAAACATGATACTCATTCATTAAGGGCAAAAGTGTAATATCATCTAAAGCCAAACATCCAGTATATTACACTAACACTTGGCCCTATCCACGTGTGGTTCTTATCTTAATAATATAACTTTTTTATCCATTAGTCTGCCTTATTAGATGGTTTAATTGTGCGACCAACCCAAATCACTTCGAGATGGAGCGCTACCTGTGCTAAGCTTATATTCCCTGCTCTTCTGGCCGATCCTCCGTCCAGTCATGCATTTAGGTCGAGTTTCAGCCAGACCATCCAAGGATCGTAGCTCGACCTGTCGGTGGTCCTTTGAACCTGCGACCCCTTGATCGACCTGAGGACACTGCAATCCGCAGCTCCATTCAACCTGCCTGTAGCCTTCTTCGACCAACCGGCTTAGCCATGCCAGATTGGCTAGTTAGTCGGGCCTATTCGACCTATGGTATCAAATATCAATTTTGATAAAATACACACCAATAAAATTATTTATTTTGTTAAATAATTTTTTGATTTTATGGTTATTTTTAAATTTTATTTTGTACTAATACAGTTCATGTAGAGTAAAATGTAGCGGACAACGAGAAACAAAAGCAAAATTTGACATTCTCCATAGTGGAGTTAAATTTTACACCATTAGTGTATTCAATTGAGAATTTAAAGAACTTTTAAAACTATTTAAAGTTTGTGATTTTGGTGGATTTTGTGAAATTTTTAATGATTTTGGTGGATATTCTGAGACTTTCATAGCAAAATCTCAACAATTTATGAGATTTCTATTGAGACTTTGTCTTTGTAATTTTATTAAAAAATTCTCAGAAGTCTTCCAATTTAAAAGTCTTGTAAAGTTTTTCTACTTTGAATACCATGTGACTTATTGAGACTATTTGAAAGTTTATGTTGAATACACTGAGACTTTTAGAGTTTTATAAAAGTCTTTAAAAGTCTCAATTGAATACATGCAGACTTTTTCAAAGTCTAAAAAAAATTCAATTGAATACACCAAATTTTAAAAGTTTTTAAAAGTCTTAATTGAATACACCTGAACTAAAGAAAGAACCTATTTACCAAAAAATAGTAACAAAAAAGTCAACTAGCATTTATTACATTCTATTTTCGACAATTTTTGATTTTTTATTTTAAATTATTCCCAAAATAAATCAGCTATATATGCACCTTAAATTCATGAGTTTTGTTGATTTAATTTAGGTAAATTTTGACTGATGCTTACAATTTTGCTAAAGTCAAAATTCTTTTTATTTATTAAAACAATTAATTACCATAAAATCAAGAATTTTGAATTAGACAAAATACTATCACATTTATTTTTTCCTAATTGCAACATATAAATTATTTAATAAAAAAATCAGATTGCATAGAAATCAGGTTTCTTTAGGTAAAACTCGGCATAATAATTTGGTAGAAGTCATAATTCTCTCATTTTTATTTAAAAAATATGTTCACCATAAAATCGGGAATATGAAATTAGACAAAATACTATAACATGTATCTTTACTTAATTGCAACATATCATGTTTACTAAAAAAATCGGATTGCATAGAAACCGAGCTCAGTTTCAAATTGAATATTAAAATTTAAACAATATCTTATCATTTGGTTACTACTTTCTTTAGTGCAGATTTATTTTTAAACATAAAACATAGTCAGATAATACTAATTTGAAATTCAAAATTAAATCGGATTGGAACATCCTAAAAATTTCAATTTTGTTTAATCCTCTTAAAAATTTGAAATTGATTGCATACATGTACACAATTTTTCCGTTCCTAAAATTAAGTAATTTTCAATTTTAAAATAATAAGGCTATAGATTATTATTAATAAAGACGTTTTACGATCTACATTTGGCTATGCAATCTTCATAAAACAAGTATAAATCATATCTCCTGTGAAATAATTATAATTGATTTATTTACGCCTATCTAGAATCTTAATATAATTTGGGGTGATAAACGATATAATAAATCAAAACAAATAATAGTGTGTACAAAGATGTGTTTATTAATATATATAAGTTTCTAATACATTCGCAAAGTTTTACGTTCTTCCAATCATCCGAATCTAAATGCTTACCTTAATCAAACTAGCACGTAGATCGTACGAGTAATGCACTAGTAAACTAAAGTAGATGGTCTTCGCCACATTTTCCATCTTTCTTTAAATGTTTTTGTTTTAATAAATTTAAGAAAATAAAATACCCGAAGATCAGCAGCCTGTATGTTGTGAAAGCGGCGTCCCCTCGCCCATCGAAGAGGATGGCTCGATCTTCTTCAGGAGGAAGAGTAGACATCTCCGCTACTACGAAGAAGATCGATGTAGATAACGGAATATCATTGCAGTATTACTTCCGCATCGCGAATAATGTTCTCAAGCAGGTAAAATCAGCTTGAGCTAACTTTCTTTCGCTGCAGAAAATTTCCGAATTAGCGATTATGTATACGTGGGTGTGTCTTGTACGAGTCTGTTTCTTTTTGTTGTAGAAGGTCCCATTGCACCCTATTCTTGCGGGATTTGATTTCAGGTATTGCTGATGAATTTATGTAAAACTTGTAGGGACGTGTGTGAGCGGAAGTTGTTCGTACTTAGACAGTATCCTGAGTTTATGCTAGAAACTTTTAGTCAGTAGGATTTGGTTTCGTTTCTCGAATAATCGAATTAAGTTTCAAGTGCATTATTTGTTATGAGTATGATACCTGAAGCTCTGTGTGGTCAATGATATCGACTGATTCTTTCTGAGGGATGGTTCTTGTAGAGGAGTATCTATGTTGGTCTGGAAATGGTTGGCGATATTGAAGCTAGATTTTTTAGGCTTGTTCTCGTTGTGAGTGTTACGGAAGTTTCAGTAATTGTAGAGGTTCAAATGGGAACTGAAATTTGAAACTTTTGTATGTTCTTACGTGAAGTTTGAAAGTGGTTGGTGGTTGGGACTTGGAAGAGTATCATCATTTAGATAATAGGGTTGTTTTTAGATAAAATGGCAAGTTGAATATCCAATGTGCTATGAGGATAGAGGGGTAACTCGCGTCAGTAATATATTAAAGCAGGAAGTAAGATTTTCTATATAATCATTGCAATGTGGCTACGACATTGCGTTTTTACCTAACGTTGACCCTACATAAAAGTATTCACGTGTTTTCAGAAACTCTGTTGGGTTATATTGAGGATTGCGGTCCAAAAAATTTTGAGCTGTGGTTATTTATTCTTTTGGGTCTTTAATCATTGGTATTACATATCACGAGAAAATTTATGAGAAAATGAATTGGATAAGCATCTTGTTAACTTTAGAGTTTAGTGATTTGCCAAATCACCAAGGGGAAAGGTAATTTACAATACCTGATTCAATATCCTATCTGTCTCTGGGTTTATCAAATAATAGCTTGTTGACGGTTGTTTAACATTGAGATAAACTAGTAGAATGTCTAACATTTTGCTATGAAGAGTGGTTAACATATCCCATATATCAGATATTGAATGGTCGAAAACCAACTTCACATGATTGCCTTAGTTAGATAGTGTCTGCAGTGCTGTTCAGACTAAAGTTGGAAAACTACTTTCAGGCATAATGGAAGCAGTTGTCCATATTGTTCTTCGAACGTCTGGACTTAGCCTGAATAATTACTCCCCTGAAAGTGACTTGTGCTTTAGTTGGTGATTACACGTAGACCACAAGCTAATACCATTTTGGTGGTCAAATTCTATTCTGTGGTTACTGACCAGTTTTGATATATCTAAAGAGAAAATTCTACAGTCTTGATGTGAATTGTGCTGCACATTTTCTTTGAAATCAGTTGCCTTCAGAATGCTGTCCCAATGTATGGTTTTCTTATGTGAATGATGTTTTTTTTTAAATTTCACACGTGACATTTTCAGTTGAATAAAACTCAGCCTGTCTAAAAAACATAGTTTAAAACTCAACTTGTCCAAAAAACTTATCCTTCATTCACGTGATAAGAAAATATGGGAGGTTGATTCGCTCGTGTGAACTTCTACATCCTTTCGTGGTCAATTTTCATGTTCCAACTATTCCATTTGGATTTGTTCTCAAACTACTACATCAATCATGTAGTTCAGTATCAATAATTCAATATATTTACTGCACGACCCTGTTTATCTATTTTGAGAGTGGAACATTGTTTTCGATTATTATTATTTTTTTATTCATTGTTCAAATCACTTAAGTAAATGCTCTTTGGATGCTCCACATGCAGAACATGTTTATTCGCTTAGTCATGTTATTAATTTTCTCCATTGTATCTAATCATTTTTCCGCCTCCTGTGATATTTATGCTCTGTATTATGTATATGTTCCAATAATGATGATAGTAACATCCAGCCGCACCATGAATGAATTATATATTTTTCCATGTAGGCTGACATCTTCCGGGAAGAAGGAAATATTGTTGACTTGTATGTTATGCTGCTTAGATTTTCAAGGTGAGAGGTGCTATGTAATTATTTACTGGATAGAGTCAGGTACCACGGAGTATGGAAAACTGGTTTTATGAAAGCTGCATGTTTTCTTTTGTTGTAGTCTGGTCACTGAGACAATTCCTTGCCATCGAGACTATAGAACATCTGCAAACTTCAATAGAAATTATCTCAAAGGGGTAACAATTTTACAACTATATGTCTTTCCTCTTTAATTGCAACTTTTAGTTTCATTACTTTTGTTACTTTATTAAGATTTGGTTTTATCCTTAACCTGCTGCAGAGAGTAATAACTGCACTGACTGAGCTTGAGGAATTGCGACCAGCCGTTCAAGCAAAACTTGAGGAATTACGAACCAAACAAATTTATCAACTAAACAAGCAGCAAAGTTCTTGGAAAAATGACACTCAGGTATCTTCAGTTGAATGGCCTGCCGTCAAACAAAACTGGAAGAGTTATAATACAACGAAGGTATATTTCTTGCAGATGTTCAATACTTCAATTGGTACTGTCTCGTCAGGGTGTATTATGCTGGAGTTTTTGTCTAATGATTAACACTGAACTTACCTGGTGTTCTGATTAAGCTTTTATAATTTATAATGAACTACACATGATTTGCGCTCCAGTTAATGTATTTCTGCCTAAACATATAAAGCGAAAAATATATTTTATTATTAATTATCTCATAGACACTGCAGCCAGTTTCTAGCAAATATGGGTATCAAGGTTTGAAGCCTGATTCGCACATGAAACCCGTGGTGGAGCATCTGCACCGAACGTAAGTTGCTTTGGTTCATCTAGGTGATTTTTTTGGCAGAAGTTAACCGAGTTTGTAGAACTTAACTCCCTGCTTAATTTATTTTTATTTTTTATTTTTAATTATTATTATTATTTTTTTCTAAATTAATGGACTTGATCATAGAACTTGTTATGTGCTTTAAATAATGTGCATCACATGTGTATATGATTATTTTTGGAAATGTGAGATGCTTTGGGCAGCAAAAGAGGTGTATGGTTGTTTCAGCAGTTGATTGCTGATCGTAGAACCGGGGGTTTTGATTCTTTACTTCTGAGGCTTGAGAGTTTGTTTGTCATAGACATGGTACAAGCCACAAATTTACTTCTATATTAGAATTTTCATTTTGCTAGAGAATAGTGATTATAAAAATTTAATAGAGAAAAGAAAATGAAGATTGAGGCTGTGATTAGGTATAAGCTGATAGTGTATATTGATGATGCAATATAAATTTTTATAAATTAATCATTGAAAGTTAGAAGTATGTGAATGAACTAATACTATACTAGGGAAATATGTACTACTGATTACTAATTTGATGAGTTTTAGAATATGAGTTGAAGTGATTGATCATTGATGGAAGAGTAAAGTGGAAATGATTGAATAATATTTTTTCTGAAATTTCTCTTCAGCATTTGCATATAAGTCTTTCTCTAGCGGAACGGAATTGAAAACGAGATGGTGATCAATTGTGCCCTATCTATATTCTATCCACATAGATCTGCCAAGAAGTCGAGTTACACGTGCTCGTTGAAAGTTTGAGTTAGAACTGTATGCAAGTTTCTAAATCCTATTCATCATAGATATGGATTTTATCAAGAGTTTAAGTGTCTTCCAGTCGTCATTGGAGAAACATTAATGCTTATTGAATTAGATGAAGTTTTCCATTTCATTATACACAATGGCATTTTGTTGTCTTTCACTGTAATGCCAGCAGATTTTTTTTGTTATTAGAAGCACTTATTAGTATTAGCTTTAACCTTCCATCACCGCTGAAGGGATTGAGGATTGGTGCATGGTTAATTAATGCAATACCACTTCTTAGTAAGTTTGAATGCGACCTTGGGGTGTCTTTTCATGTCTTAATAACTGAATTCTTGTTGTTTGAGTAAATAAATGTAAAGAACTTGATTTGTCATGTTAATATTTATGTCATCGTTCTTTCAATCTGTTATTGGTGTTTTTAGTGTTCACTCTCTCTCTCTCTCTCTCTCTCTCTCTCTCTCTCTCTCTCTCCATAGATCATTAAGTCTTCCCCGTCCAAAGGAGGAAACACTTTCTAAACATTCTATCTTAGGCCCAAATGGGCTTCGTGGGCAATGGCAACCTCCTAGTAATTATAAGGTGGTACGAAAATCTCCTGCTATATATGATATTATGTTGAAGCAAACATTATTCTGATTCTATTATACAACTGCAGGTCCAGTATCCAAGCCCTGTGGAATTTGCTCTTCAGATCTCTAGGTTTAGCTAATATCAAACCTTATCATATATTTTATATTTTCTTTCTCAAAAGTTAGTGCTTAATTCTAGGATTGAGTCACAATTTATATAATGCACGTGATTTGTGAAGTATGGTTTTTGATCCTTAGGGTTAGTAACAGTCCGCATGCTATCAAAGATGAGACCACAACCAGGGAGGATGATGTTAACTCAGAACAAGAAAAATCAAATCTGGAAGCTGTGGTTCAACCTAAAAATGATGGCCACCTAATCAAGGAATCTGATTCTCTAATTTCTTTTGAAAGTGCTGAAAGTTCTGCACCAATCGAAATTATCAGGCAACCCTCTCCTCCTCCTCTTCTAGCTGATGTACAGGATTTGGTCCCAACATCAACTGCAGCAACTCAGGCAGAATGTGGAATGGAAAGCTCTTCAACTGATGCTTTACCTTGCTCTGAAGAACCCCTGCAGTTGCATATAGTAAAGCTTTTATGTATTGTTTCCTGCATGGTTTTTCTTTTCTACAGTCTGAATGTGATTTAACTTTCATGAAGCTTCCAGAACATATGAAATAATGATTGTGCCTCTTCTTGTATCAGTCAACTGAACTGATGAACAGTTTTATGAAGCTAGCGAAGTCAAACACAGATAAGAACTTAGAAACATGTGGAGTCCTTGCTGGTTCCCTTGTAAGTGACGCTGACCTTTGGGTCTTCTTAATACCTGACGTACACGTGATCATTGTAGATTGTGAAAATATTTCTCTTTGTTCATTGTTAACGAAAGCTTCATTTGTAATTGTGTCAGAGAAACAGAAAGTTTTTCATAACTGCCCTCATTATTCCGAAGCAAGAATCGACATCGGATTCAGTAAGCCACACTGCTGCATATTTAAACATACACAATTTTAAGTTTGTTGAATGTGATTTGGTTACTAAATTATTTTTATCGAGCAGTGTCAGACAACAAATGAGGAGGAAATATTTGAAGTGCAGGATAAGCAGTGTCTTTTTCCACTGGGATGGATTCATGTAAGACATCTTATCCCTTTCATAAAAGCTGACTTAGTAGTTGTTCTCCTTCATCAGGATAATTACCCTTTTAAGGCTTGTATTTACCTTAAATGGCTTCATCTTGAGGTGCACTTCTGTTTGACCAACAAATGTGGGGATTGGGTACTAATTTAGAAATACAGTTTATTTTAACAGGCTAAACGCTAGGGGTAGTTATTGTAATTAATGTACATCCAACTTTGCTATGTGTTTCTCTGTCTTTAAGTAATAGTTTACTCTAAAAATCTCCAAGTTTTGTTGTGCATATTGGGTCAGTTTAACTTTCGTCTTTCGCAAGTTGGCTTCTAATTAATTTATTTTTGGAGACTTGATTGAGCTCAATAGGGGCGAAGCTTGCATCTTGCTTCAGTGTGGGCATCATTTTGAGATGGTATCCAACAAATAACAGGAAAAATTCAAAATCTAAAGAAACATGTCTGGTTCTGTTAGCACAGAAACAACATTTAAAACTTTAAAAACAATTTTAATCAATGGAATAAAGGTTCAGTATAAATTGGAATTGGACTATTTCATCTTCCTGAACATCATTTGTTAATTTCCTGTATTGTACTGTTTCTTGGCTTCTTCAGCCTCCTCCATGGCGGCTGAATATGTTTGTTCTCGAGGCTCAGACCTCTAAGCGTATCCCACCTTAATATCAATGTGGACACGCTCTCACTCAGCCTTACCTATTTTCGCCCCTGGATTTCAATATCTTTTGAGATAGTATTGAAGCCGTCTGCTGACATTTTACTTAAATCCATATAGTCTATTCGTTAAAAGATAATCAATTTGATCTTATAGTTCTGATAATTGATAATAATCGACTTGTTTGCCCCCTCTTTTGTTTTCTTAAAGCAGCTAATTGTATCCTTAACCTATAAACTTGAATTTTATGACATTGGACTCGCAATCTGCTTTTGACTTTTCAATTCAATCTAACCTTCCCAATGCCTCTTTCACTTCAAAACACGAGACAGGAGATTATTGATAAACATTATGATTGATCATGGAAATTTGATTAACATCCAAATAATCTCATGATTACTTGATGTGAGTCAACATCCTTGTCAAATGTTTACTACGACGGACTATTGCGTGGAGTATATTATTTAAAGTAATTTTCATGAAGCTGAACGATGAGATTATTCAAGCCTCGTTGGTGGAACATGTTCTATCTAGAATAAATACTGAATAAAAACTTTGGCAGTACTTGATATGGATAAAGTGCTTGAAATTGCCTGAAGGATACGCCAAAAATCGTGTCATTGATTTTTTAGAGGTTTGACTGATTGGTTTGCTTGTGAAACAGCCAGAACATGAACTCGACTTGGTTTGGACTCAGTCTCCTGGATATGGTGTCTCTAAATTTGATTTATAAAATTTCAGGGGGATTAACAAAATAAATGGAACATGCTAGGTAATTAAAAAGAAATGCCTCTAATTAATCTCTCTTTAACATGATTTGTGAGAATATGCAAACTGTTTGGGCATGAAAAAATGACTTGAATAGAAAGATTGGACTTATTACAGTTGTCCAGGAAAATAGAGAAGAATTGGAAAGAAAGTAATAACGGATTTAGGGCTTTGCAGATTTTTGAAGAAGATGAATACTCATTAAAAACTTATTCCAGTCTTAATGGACAGTGACTGAGCTTGACAGTTAACAGTAAACTAGTGTCGAGGAGATTTGGCTGGATGGGTAGAAATTGGGCCAGATGAGTACTAAACAAATAAATGATATAATTCAATGTACTCATCTTACATTACTTTTAATTAATGTGTATCAATTAAACATTTAAAATAGCTCCTGCTCGCGAGTTTGTAGAGCAAGACCTTTTTCTTTCTTTTAATGGACAATGCCAACATGATTGGAAATTGTTTTCCCCGTCTCTCTTTTGTTCTTTCTTTTGCTGTGTTAAGTCTTAAGTTGCAAGTTTTTGGACTTATGTTTATAATTGGTATTTACTTATTGTTTTGCAGACGCATCCTACTCAGTCTTGTTTCATGTCATCAATCGATGTTCACACCCATTACTCTTACCAGGTTTGCTTCGTTTGTCCTAAAGTACTTCATAAAATAAGCTACCAAGTTACCAACAACATTTTGCATCCCAAAGTTGAATACCGATCTTTAGAAAGCACGTTTGTACTGAGTACTTCATAAAGAAGCTACCGGCAAAATTTTGCATCCCGCAATGGAATATCATATTTAGGAAACATGTTTGGCTTTTTCACATAACGAGAACCTATAGAACGGTAAAATGTCTCTTTAGCCTTATATTTTCATGGTATGTTGCAATTTGCAAGTCTGGTAATAAATATGCTTTCTTTGAATTTCAATTTGCTCCCACCATTTTGATTTTAGTTGCTACTAGTACTTGATCTTGTCCGTATGCACATATGTAAATAAGTGATATAAGTTTTATATGTATGCATATAATAGTAAAATTATAAGTTAGATAATGGTATGATCATAATAGCATAAAATTGTTTAAACTACATATGGATTACTATATTGATTGCATAAAATGTAATGAATAGCGTAATTTTTGTGATTTTGAGGGTTCTTGACCAATTAATTATCTAAAAAATGAAATTATTATTATTATTATAACAATTGTTGTGCAATTTTAAGGGGTTTGGCTATGCCACTAAAATTAAGTAAGCTAATTTGAAAAAAAAAAAGCTTAACGAGATGCAAAAAAAAAGGCTATTGATTTTAGAAAAAAGCTTGAAGAAAAGGTTTTGCAATATAGTTTTTGATACTTATGTAACTTCTAGTGTGAATTCTAATTAGTTAGTTCTAGTAGTAACTATTATATGATAAAATATATAAAAATATTGGTACACGTTAATTTATATAAATGTAACGTTACCATAATTAACTGCAAAAATTGAGAGGGAAATAATTCTTTTTGCCTTAATTTGATTGCCCACAATACATACATCTATATATAGATTTTGTTTCATATTGTTGAAATATCATTTGTGAGTTGTCCCACATTGATTCTATAGAGAAAATGGGTTAGCTTATATACCTAGTGGGCTACTCCTCCTATCACTTATGGTTTTGGGACTTCACCTCACTGCACCTAGGTCCACCACCCTCTTATGGTGCGCTTCACCTGCGTGGGACCGCACCTCTCGCCCTGATTCTATCATGGTATCAGAGCCAGGCCAACTCCGGCTTGGGCCTATATCTCTACTCGGCCTGCTCTTGGCTTGGGCTTATGAATAACTCACAAGTGGGGCGTATTAGAATATCACTTGTGAGTTTGTCCCACATTGGGAAAATAGACCTAGCTTATATGCCTAGTGGGTAGGGTTGTAATCGAATCAAAGCGAATACTCAGTGATTCGATTCGGATTCATTAAAATATTCGAAGATTCGAACATAGTTTTAAATGGCGAATGGCGAGGCGAGGCGATTAGCCCATTGCCTCGCCACAAGGCGAGGCGAATCGCCATGGCGAGGCCTCGGCAACACAAGCCGTCTAAGCTTATATATACACACACACACACACACATTTAAGTTCAAGTACCAACAATAACCTTCGATTTCCTAAAAAAGATAATATAAATTAAATTTAGTTGTAATTACTAAAAGCATCTAAAATTTAAATGTGAATAGTACTAGTAACATTACAAAGTAAAAATATTAAATTTACACTGTGTAGTAAACATAAAATAGAAAAAAGTTAAAGAAGGCAAATAAAAAGTGTAAAATAAAAGTAAATGAAAGAAAAGACACTGTGTAGTAATTTTTTGCTTTCGATCTGTTTTAATTTTATTCTCTTTCCAAAAAGTGTCGCTTTTCTTTTTTTTTTTTTTTTTT